AGATAGGTCAGGTGATTACCATATGGCATGACATCGACAGAAAGCCAATTTAGTTGGGCAGTTGCACCATTCAGGCTAAGCCACATGACTTTTGACGGCCAAGCAAATATAGACTACCAGACCCTTTGTCCACCCAAATATTTTTACGACGAAGTCACATATATAAGGTACTACTTATCACGGGAATTAAAAATATGAATTCTTTACACAAGATCAACATTCCAGTTGGTACCCTATGATTTCAGAATCTGACCATTTTCGTTTTCAAAGTTATTGCATAGAGAACATTCTACGAAATGCTACTCCAACGAATACCTCTAGAGCCCCTGACTGTGTCAGAAACACAGACTCACCTTGGTCGAAACAATTGCAGTTGTTCACCTTTTGTCAGTGCTGATTAAGTGTGTAGTGTGCAGCATTTTTGAGTATTTTTCTGTACAGTTAATAGATGAGTGCTGCATGTAAAAATGTAGTTATCACCTGAGATCCCATTTGTTATGTATAGTAATACAAACTATGCAGAATAATTGTGCCCTGATATCGTTGGCTAACGAGTTTACTGCTCTATGCAGAAGAACACATAGCTTAGGTTCTATCGATTTACTCTCGTATTATTGGGCTATTTTCTTCGTCCAGGCCAAATGTTACAATTTAGACACTTGCAATGGGTTTTGTACGTAAACCACTGATTTATTCAGCAGAATAAATAAATCTTCTGCGACCTTCTTGACAGCATGTACACTGTGAGTGTAAAAATAGGTGTTGACGCTGTTTGTTATACAATTCATTAAGCGACTGGTTATAAAATGAATCAGTTAGGTAACATAATAAAAGTCCTTTCGTGTGAACTGCATATTAATAATCCACGTAGTGGATGCTTACTTCAGAATAAGTGAGAATAATATTCGCTCTCAAAAAGTGTACAGGATTGCAGCCTGTTTCTATTTCAACAGCCTCCAACTCTTTGTAAGTATATATGTAGAATTGCCACTACTACTTGCTTGTCTGACAATTATTTATGTCTCAGACGTAGTCTTCAATTTGCCGATTATGTTCCTTTGAACTATATCGTTGTGTATCGTCTTGGCCAAAATTAGTAATGTGAAAACTGACAGAATTTTCAAAAGACGATTTCAAATCAAGTTATGCTTAAACATCATCCGGGGCAAGATCTATTTGTGTTATCACAACCAATCATAATCATAAAATTAACGTTTTCTTAGTGACCACCCGGATTCTGAATTATTTCAAGCAATGATCTCGTCAGAATATGCTTTGTCTTTTTGAGAAAATAGCTACTCGTTAAAATGGGGAACGTAATAGTGTTATAAAGCCGAGAACTCTTAAATGCGAAAACTTAGCAACCCTAACTAGCCTAATAGACTCCCCAAATCTAAAGGTGTGGGTGGATGTATAAACTCGGATCAGTTTTCCGTGTGCGACTCAGGTGGAAGCGCAGGGAATAAATATGGGTGACCACGTTGAAATATATCTTAAACAATGTGATTTGAGTCGTTTAGCCAAATAGAAAAAGTCGTATGCTTACTGTAGTGACACCTGTAACTTCACATTACGACTACTTGCTGTCACATGACAAGGCGAGCGCCGAAATTCACTTGCATTTTTGATGCATTCTATTTTACTAGTTCTTTCTCAACAGCACCTGGTCTATGGAGGTTCCGTTTCATTCGACCCTCAGTCTTTGTGACAGCAATGTTGATTCTCAGCTCTTTGACACTGACATCGCGATTACCTTAAACGAATCGTCCCTTGTCTAAATTGAGGTACTGTTACGTTCAAGTTTTCCGTTCTCTTCCGTCATTAAACCATGGTATATATTCAAGTTTTTAGGTTTTCGGAGCAAAGGCGCATGAAGGCTACATTTTTTTGTGTTCTCACAGTTATCATGTTGTAAAGTCTATGGACTTTATAATAGACAAACCTTTTGATGTTGCAGGGATTTTTGACAGTTGATTCATCTTTTGTTGGTTGCATTTCTTGTATAATCTTTATTTTTTAGTTGATAGCTCACAGGACAAATTGAACTAACATATCCCTTATATTTACAAGGAGCAATTTTCTTTGACAGACAAGAATATTCTTTCATGTGTGACGATCGGAGCCTTCCATGTGCTGTCAAGATTGTTGTCTATGCCAATTAGACAAAGCATTGTTCAGGTATACTTAGTTTCGTTCGTACCTGTATTTTTTCTAACTGTACCTCTTTTGTAACTTTTTTGCTCCTTATCACGTCTTGGTGTAGTTGAAATCTCGCAAGTAGATCAAACTGATCTATTCAGTAGGCTAAAACCGTGTTCTTTGCGTTTACAGATATATCTTTATGTTTTTATAATTAGCATTTTTATACCTTCAATAACATCAATTAGCCGTATAGTCTGTCCCATAAAGCTGTTCAGGTATATTGTGTTACTTATACATCAACTTACTTTACGTTCTAGCCATATTGTTCAAAATATATGTCTAGAGAGTTAGGTCTTACAAATTGAACTTCGGAACCGAAGCATCTGCAGATAGTACGACAGCAACCCGTGGTAAATGGGTTGTACTTGTGCTCCCTTAAGGTCAAAGTTGTGCCATCAAATTTCAAAAATTCTGGACGGATACGATATGTCTCCGAAGAGGTTGTAAAAGATGGTTTCTTAAATTTTTTCTTATATTTGTACCGGATTTTGATCCCAGTTAGAAAATTCGTCCAAGTAGTAGGTGTACCTTTCAAATCGTCCTATTTTGAAGCCTGTAAAGTCTCCAATGAACCACTGGATACTTGTGATTTCCAATAGACACTTGTATAATAGGATGGGTGGTCAATAAAATTTATCAAGATTTCAATGCTCAGACTCTGAAGATTGGCAAACATGGTGAAACTGAAGACAGAACGAACTTGAATGATTCTCAGAATAACGATGGGAAATTTTCAAATCGTCATGTAAAAATAATTAAAGGTAAAAAGATATGAAACATATGACAGATCACCTCAAGTTTGTGAGTTTTAAAGAAGATCGATGATTAATGAGGTGGCGCGATACTTCATAAACAAAAACATGAAGTCCTAATTGATGTCTTGTGTGTTTGAGTGAAATGGGTCCATTCATATGACTTCGAAGAGCCCCTGCATTATGTATCCCCTCAGTTTGCATTAAAAACCCTAACCATGAGACTGGATCGTAATTCCGAACAGGACCAGATGAACAACACCCCAAAATCTTGAGACATATTGCCCAATATATCGCAGCCTCACTGACTGTGATATTCAAAATGTCACTTGACCAACGTGTGTTACCTATGGACTGGAAGGACGCTATCGTCACTCCTATACATAAAACAGGTCTACGACAAGTTCCATCAAATTACAGACCCGTAAGCCTCACCAATGTTGTAATTAAAATACTGGAAAGAATAATCAAACGGACCATAACAGCATTTATGGAAACCAATAACTTGCTGAACATGGCACAACATGGTTTTAGAAAGGATCTATCCTGTACAACGAACCTCCTTATAGCTAGGGAGCTCTGGATTAATGCGCTAGACAACGGAAACTCAGTGGATGTTGTCTACATAGACTTCAGTAAGGCTTTTGACAAGGTGCCAACTAATAGACTGCTATTGTAGTTGGCAAACCTTGGTATTGCCGGACCTCTTTTAAAATGGATTAAGGATTTCCTAGTACGTCGTAGGCAAAAAATGAGAATAAATTCCAAGTGCTCCATCTGGAGACCAGTATTTAGTGGAGTACCCCAAGGTTCCGTCCTAGGTCCTTTACTTTTTATAATGTACGTTAATGATCTCACATGTATAGTACAGTCTCCGATGTCATTATACGCTGACGATGTAAAAATTTGGCGAGTAATGACTGGAGACAAAGACGCATTTACTCTTCAAGCGGACTTAAATAATATGATAAACTGGTCTAAAGAGTGGCTAATGCCTATCAACTCGGAAAAGTGTGTCTACATGCACTTAGGGGATTCAAAGGTTAATACGTACAACATAGGGGATGTGTCATTACCCGTAGTCCGCTCTCATAAGGACCTAGGGGTGACAGTGAGCAATGATCTTAAGACGTCGGCCCATTGCCGGGAGGTCGCAGTTAAGGGGTTTTGAACCCTCTGGGCTTTAAAAAGGACATTCACTAAGCTCGATACTACCATGTTCACCACATTATACACATCCTTAGTGAGAACTAAGTTAGAGAACTGTGTTCAGGCTGCAAGCCCCTGTTTAAAAGGTGACTCAGACATACTAGAAAAGGTACAGAGGGCAGCTACGCGTGCAATTCCGGAACTCCGGGGTTTATCATATAAAGAGTGGCTTGAGAAACTGAACCTCTCTACTCTGTCCGATCGCAGACTAAGGGGAGATCTAATATTGATGTACAGAATACTGAGAAATGATTTCGGACCTAACTTATTCTCTCTCTTTCTTCCCACTAGATCGGGACACCTCAGAGGACATAGCAGGCGAGTAGAAAAGCCAAGAACGAACAAAATACTCGTGGCATACAGGTTTTCACACCGAGTCATCAATATTTGGAACCTGCTGCCTGAAGCAGTGGTGTCTGCACCTTCAATTGACTCTTTCAAGAGGAGACTGGACACTCACAGAAGCATACTAAAAAAGGAATAACATAGGCCGTAGGCCTTCTGTCCTTACTACACAAATCTGAATCTGAATCTTAATCCTTTTAGGTCAATAAAGAGACAATAAGTTTTAGTTACCTACTACACTAAGATCAGGGCCTAGGATATAGAATCTAAGACTCTTGCATTGTAGCTCATGTCAGTTTGTGGTAAAAAGGAAACTATAGCCTTAAGCCCCGATGCTATATCTTAACACTATTTCCTAACCCTATTTTGTCAAACGCCCCGTGTCCTTTAGGTGGCTCACAAATAATTAGTTTCAGTGGTTTATTTCAGCTTCACTGCCAACACTTATCTCGTGTAATTTTATTACTAGTTTATTTGAAAAGTTCCGTACCTGAATACTCTTCGGGGTTAGTGAAAACATTGCGCAAGGTCATCAATATGCTTTTCATATGCCAGGGGTAAGTTTAAATAAGTCACTCGGGCTTGGGGGTGGTGTTGCGGTAGCCACCTTAGGATTAATAGAGTCCTATTTTACCTAGCAAATTCCACCCGCATATTAGTTGAGCTATCTTACTATGTAAAATACAGCTTTGTGAGCCGTTTGGATTTAAATGTGTAATCCGATTTCAGCAAAATCAAATCATTTCTTTGTATTCTATACATCAAAATCAGATCACCACTTTTTCTAAAATAGGAAAAAGTGGTCTAGCTTCTCATACACATAGTGGCTTGAAAAGCTAGACTTTACTCTGTTCTGCCGCAGACTAAGAGATCATCTGATTTTGATGTACAGAACAATAAGTGATTTTGGACCTGCTAGATCTTTTTTCTTCTTACGTGATTCGGACAACTTAAAGGATATAAAAGGCGACTATAATAGCCAAGAACGGACAAAATCACAGAATACAGGTTTTAACAATGAACCATCGATTCTTGGAACCTGTTACCCGAAGAAGTGTCCGCTCCTTCAATTGACTCATTCAAGAGAAGACTAGACACTCAAAAGTTTACTAGAAAAGATTAACATAGACCGCATGCTTTCCGTCCTAGTAGCACAAATCTAGAGCTAAACCAGTGAAGATATGATGTGGCAATCAAAATATTTGTTTTTGAACTAACACAGCTACATTTCGTTTAGGTGGTTAGATACTATGACATCAAGTTTTTACATCGGTTTACAGTAGAAGTTTCACAAGCTAGAGTTAATCCTTCCCAAATCCTTAAAGCACTCATACAAGCGCCTAGGATTATTCTCGCTTCCAAAACTCAATATGGTTCAAGTTTTGAAGAATACGTATGCCAGTTCAGCTGAGTTTAAAGTGCTGACGCTTGAGCACAAGTCAATCTGCCATCGACAGTTCGAAGTTGACGTAGAAACAGGTTGTAAAGTTGTTATTTCGTCCTGATAAGGTCTCATGGCATGCACATCCTTCGTTTAATATACAAGAAAACATCCACGACGCTACTTTCCCTACATGCTTTTTTCCAGAAAACTATTTAACTGTATATACACTACTCTAGTCTCGTGTTACCATAAATTACACGTGACTTCATTGCCAATAAAACCGTCCTGCAAATGACGAATACGTTTGGTGGTCATTCATTTGTCTTTAATACATATTGTCAATACAAAACTGATTAACCACTAGGAAGGATTTGGGTATGGAAATTCAAACTGCCTATATTGATGGATTATCTCAAATACTTGAGTTTTATATTAAGTATTGAGGTCCAGTGTGAAATTATCAGGAGTAGGTTGTTAAGCACGATCTATGTCTCCAGGCAGTTCAGAAGTTTCGATAACCTCTCACCCTTAAATACAACAGAACTTCACTAGTATTCTCAGTATTTAACCATCTGAATATCTTATAAATGTTTACTAGTAAATCTAATGTTTTTTGTATCTAGTAAAGGATCTTATGTTGTGCTCTTTTCTTATACTGGGTTCTTTTATCATCTAAGTTAACTGTCATTAATAATTCTGTTCACATTTCCATAAGCCTTTCTCATGACATCCAAATTTTTAGTCAGGAACCGGGTTTTACACGACATGGTTCGTCTCCTGGAAAATGTAAAGTCCACTTTGTTACTAGTGTAATATTTTCAGATTATCTTTATCACAGAACATGAAGGTGTAACAAAAAGTCTTGTCACTTTTGCTGAACAGTTTAAAAATTCCAGTATTATCATACAGCTGGATCCTGTTAAACTCATGGAGGAACAGTTTATTGCAGGATTTTGTCGACGAGGTATGTTGAATCTAAAAAGAAGTAATATTAGTGATATTAAAAATATCAGTTAATGTGATTTTTCTTTTCAATTTACAAGATATGGAAAGTCAAAGTATGGTGCATATAGATCTGTGCAGTGGAATGCATTGCACGTTTTAATTGCTGATAAAACTATGTGGGTATCAGACGAGGCTAAGTTAGATAATCTAACTAGTTTCAACCATCTTATAAGGTAAACGCCTTTTAAAGATAGTGTTCTTGAAATGCACAAGCTAAAATTTGACGAAAGCTACTGGGGTTTTCTTTGATAACCATACACGGATTTGTAATAATTGAAGTGGTTTCTTATTTTAGTAGTGTCTGTTGGCTTGTGACTCAGCATTATGGCTTTCACCAAGTTCTATTCGATACCTACATAAATCCTTACATATTGATCGACTTTTTGCCATCCCGCATTTTGCTAGTACCCGGTAACAAATATACTCTTAGTTATTTCATTTAACTTCGCGAAACTTGGTATTATCACCATATATTTTAGTGTCATCACAGTTTTTATAACATGGGGCTTCATTTTTGAAAATGCTCTTAAACTAATGTCGTGCTCATTATTTTTAGTCCGCGTTTGTAACATTCGAGTTTTATCTAATATACGCCGCATTATCTGCATATATCTGAAGGTATTCGTTTCATAGTGTCCCTATTATTTAAGAAACCAGTAACGAATACTGACTGAGGTATATTTATTTGAGGTTATCAGTTACTTACGGGTGTACTGACTCAATAAACCGATCTATTTTCGAGATCCAAATAAATTATCCGATTGTTAACTGACTAAATTTTATAGTCAAGATATGACTGTAAGTTATTTTCGGATAACGGTCACTTAGTTAAAGATGAAAGCAAATCTCAGTGATCAGTTAGCGGATTCCCCATCAATTTCCAAGATACATTTTTAAATATTGTTTCAGTTTATCTTTACTAACTGCATAATTCTACACATAAATATGGAACCAGTAGTCCTTTTCTTCCGCAAGAAGTTCTATGACAATAAAAAAACTGAAGAATTTATGTAAATAGCGCAACTACTGGCTAAGAGGTGGTAGGTAAACAGAGACTATGAAATAAAGTTGTTAAAATTGGTTGTAAACGATTAATCGTAATACAGCAGTCTCTTACTTGAACTGTTTTAATATTTGATAAGTGGGCAAGAGATTAACTGCATATTCTTTGATCCTTTGACTAAACTATTTCTTTTAATTATCTTAACCCAGAAAACTTGTCTGTATAATACAAGTTTTATGTTCACTTCAGGATATTTTACTATCCTGTAATCCTTTAATGTTATATTTTAGGAGCTGTTACAGTTCTGCCTATAAAACCATTGTCGGAGTTTGGTCTTTCTATTCAAAAGTGTAAGTCTTTTCCTATCCTATTTAATTTATTGACCTTCACCTTTTTCTGATCAGTGGCTATATATAATTCCGTATAATTTGCTCTCTACATAGTAATCAAATATTAAAAAGATCACCAATAGATTGAAAGACCCAATGGCAAATAATACTTTTTCAACAAGAAATGAGTGTTTTTATTCATTAGTTTAAAAGATAATCCTGGGACGTTATAAACGATAGGTTCTAAATTTAAGTCACAGTAAAAAAGTCTTCCCTTACCGTGTTTCTAGCTCATTTAATTGATGAGTGTTGGATAATTTAAGATGTGCTTTCTAGTTTTTAATACTCATTACTACCCAGTACAATAATTAGTCAAGTTTTAGGTTCTTAATGAAGAAATCACCATTAATGTCGACAATACAGAACATTCACAAATGCTATAATAAGGAAATCTGATAGTGGTTACGATTGTAGAGGAATAAGTACAAGGCTACTCATGAGTTCAACTCCAAAACAGGGTGTATGAGGTGTTGACTCCGTTAAAACTCTGACCACTTCTTCACTCTTTTGTTATAACTATCCACTAAATGTTTCCAGTACATGAAGGTTTGCTTCTAAACTGAGTATACTGGTCAGTGAAGCGATTTTAGTGCAACTCCAGGAACTGCTGCAGTCGTTGTGCCAGTATATTCTAAATTTTAGTATGTAATCTACAGTTCTATCTATTCTATGTATTGCTGTAAGAAACAACAGCCAAAAGCAAAATACATGAATCTACAAGTAATTTAGTGTATCTGTCTTCAAACCGTTGTCTACCAACCTTCTTCATTAAACGGTTGTTGGGCATGTCACGTGTATCCAACTCTGAGTACAATGCGATAATCCTTGATTTACGAGTATCTCTTAAGCCAACGATAATCAAAACTGTGACGAAAAACTCATACATTTTGTCAGGAATTTTATTTTGTACTCGCACATGAAACATGACTTAAATCAAGTGCATATGCAAATCAATTAGATGAATGCATATTCTCAATTGTTCATAATGTATAAAAACAATAAAAATTTAGTTATTAAAATCCCGAAGATCCATTTAGCAACACACAAAGAGAACTGCTATACAGTAATATATAAGGCTATGATATAGAGTAAGTGTATCGAAGCAGGCAACATAAGAGTTTTATACTTACATAGTATTATCTATCATTTGTAAAAAATTTCAGTTACCTTAATTGTGTCCTCATAAAGACTAAACACTTCAATCGAAATTATAAGAAAGTGCACGGTTATGTCTTTTCAAAAAATATGTTAGCTCATGATTGGCATATTTCTAAAGTCTTAGTCCGCAGACAGGTTAAACAGTGGCACACTTTTGCGGAGCTGCTTCTTGTATATATCTAATAAAACCTGTGAAAATCTATTCTATGTGCAGTGTATGCTACTTATGTCGACAGACATAATTCGCTGGAGCGCAGGCATTGGATGTGGACATCGGATTTGGATGGCCCGGCGGGTCGACGGAGCTACGAAGGTCAGCGTACCGCAGAGTCAACATTTTGACAGGGAGTGTGGCACAGACTAGTAAAGAAGAAGGTGGTACGGCGAGCAGAACGACCGTATGCTACTTATTTCTGTCAATATGAGCAGTATGTAACACCAATCGGAAGTGGAAAACCTAACATCAGAAGGCTAAGAAGATTGAGTCGAGGAGAATCGAGGGGAAAATAGAAAGGAATCGTGGACTTAAAGAATCATACGTATTGTGAAGGACAAAGGATGAAAATTTCTAAGTGGAGTATTCAGTGTATGGTTTTCATATCTTATTAAGAGATTCTGTAATTTTGTATTTAAATACAATCGGTTATCACCACCTGTATTCTCGTTCACTACACATATATGTTTTTCAGTGGTCATCATTATTACTATTTCACGTCATTCGAGTTAACTGTATATCTGACCAGTTTATTTTGACATTAGTTGTAATATTCTGAAAGCTATAGTCTCATCAAATTCTTCCTTTTTTTAAAAATACTTCTCAGAGTCGTTGTTTTTACTTATTCAAACATCGAAGAAAAAAACTAACACTAACCTTTTCTACCCAATTGTTATACAGGCAAATTACTCTTGTTTTGTGATTCATTATGATACTTTCCAGCTATTTTAACCCTGGACATGTCTCCAGTTGTGTACTCTGGTTTTGGATTATCCGCTAAAAAAGTTAAACAAGAAAAGAAGAAAGTTTTCTATCGTGAGTTCTTTTGTATTTCCTGGTCATATTTCTCGCATCACTGACGAAATTCCTTACATATTCTATACTATGTAATTCATCTTTTTTGTCTATCTAAATAGATTTCCATAGAAACTATAGTTTTTCGTAGTTTTCGCCAGTTCAGTAATTTGGGTCCCAATCCCTCTACTACGATTTATGCAACCGGAGACCAGTGTTTTTATGTATTTCTTCATTTAGTATAACAATACAATTTACCTGATCAGTTTATTATACGTGACACTGCACTAGATTAAAATCAACACTTAAAAAGCAGGCAACTATCCACAAAAAAGCAGTGAGTGTCTAGAATATCTCAGTGACCTTTTTTAAACTGGAAGCTGAAATAGTTAAACATTGGTCTTTTAACGCAATAGTCCATCAAATCCCTGGTACGACCGACGGTGGGGAGAGCCCACTCATTCGAAATGCTCTCATATGGTTACGTGTCTATGACCACTTCCTTCTCGCGGCGGTGTTGTTTACAAATTTGAAAGGAGAAAAAGCGAACGTTCAGTAATTAAACCGAGCTGGTGGTTACAGAGGATCCATTTGGGGGAGTTAGAAAACCCTGATCCCAAACTAATGGTGCATACGGACCCCAGAATCTTTAGGGAACAAGTGGCATATAAATTTATTCCTGGTCATCGGCTACCATGGGGCTGCATCTCCCAACATTGCTCCACTGCCTTGACGATTAGATCTCTGAGTCAAGGGCTCAGAGAGCGACTTAAAAAAACCACCCGTTTGGGCTTTGTCACCCGGACAGTATTTTAACCCACACACAAAATGAATGATAGCTACTTTGTATGGCACACATATTTTCTGGTGCCCCATTTTTTACCGATATTTATGTGTCTGAACAATAAGCACAAACTTGTAATCAATAGTGTTATCCATTATTATCATATTTTGATCGGTTCCTTTTGAATCGTCCGTCAATTTTATTCCCCAAATTAAAGGTATTAGTTATTAGGGCATCCATAAGGCTTTAGCGACCTCAAATGACATATGTTCACCTACTCAACTAACACTCAGTTCAACTTGGTGATATATTATTTTGTCAACTGGTTTTCTTTGCTCTTCATATGTTCGAAAAATCTAGTGTAGATATACCTCAAAATTTTATTTAACTGATTTACTTACTTACATAGGCTATACTCGTCTCTAAATCCAATTTAAATAATTTGATTGGCTTACTTACTGTATTTTCAAAATAAAATTGATTAAAGGGATTTTCGAGCTTAGTGTTAAGGAATTTTAGTATTTCTATTATAAAAGTGATAGTCGGAATATTTTAAAAAAGTGTTCAAAGTAACTAACACGTCTATATTAGATTTGGTTATCACGTCCATGATCTTTCACTCGTTTTAATTCAATAAAATACGTACCATCTTTTCCCTCGCATACTTTTCCAAAATATAACTGAAACGTAACCCAAGCATAATTACTAACCTGTTTTCAAACTTTCTAATCTCTTTTATCATTCTTTTGTTCAGGATTTCAAGTCGATCTAAAAAGTCCACAGTTTCTGCGAAATGGACCAGTACATACACGTCTTCGATCATTTTTCAAGGCTTTCACTAACCCCCTAGAATTGGGCACTCGTATCCCCCGATGCCTTGGAAATCTTGGTCCTTTCTTTGTTGATTGGTTACCAGATTCCTCAGTCACACAAATAAATGAATTCCCTAAAAGTGAATCCATTGCTTCATATTTAAATGACAAAGAACATCTCGTGGTACGTTTTATGGAACGGTATATTCATAAATCTTCATTGAAAAGCATTATTTACCCCTATACTTTTCAGGTTTACAGATTTGCAGAAAATATGTTTATATTAACTTAAAGTGTTGACTAAAGTGAACGTGTACTTTATGTTTTGCAGTGAGATTTTCTTCCGCACAAGTAATCGGAGATTGTATTGAAATGGTTTTCGCAACATTAATAAGGTGCTGAGTATTTGTTCTCATTATCCTCCATTTTACATACGGCTACGTTAGTATAATCTCTAAGTTCTTTAAGCACTTTCAGTGCATTGCAATTTGTATCATTATATAATAGTGGATCAATGACTTGGTGACCAACGGATATGAATTTCAGTCATTCAGTTAGAAGTTTAAACTCCTCTCCAACTACTCCGATCATTCCATTTGGATAAATCCGCTAGCCTCCACTCACGTAAAACTTGAATGAAAGTCGGGTACACAAACTGAATAGCATTGAAGTTATAGAAATATGATAGACAAACTAAATGTGTTTGCACTACATTTGAATAATTTACTGATTCAATAATGGTAATGGTGTTCCTAACATACTTTTGTAATCTTGCTCAGTTGTTACAATATATCAGTAAGTTGATTTCCTTCAGTTAATCCTTACAAATCCACTAAGATTAAAACGCTTCATCCAAAGACAAATTTACTTAATTGTTGTAACTTATATCTGTTCTGTAGATATTTTGTATTTATAAAAGCTTAGTACAATGTTAGTATTGTCTATTGATTTATGTATATCCAAATCATTATCAGCTACATATAGATTTATGTTTATGAACGAGCTAGAAAATTGGATAATTACTGTTACTTGATAGTTCCATACCGAATTATGTTACAAAGTAAACTTTCTCCAACAGATCCTCTACTTTTATTTCATTTTATACACTCTGTAGTCAGCATTTCATTTATAGTAATATTTCTTATTTAGTGTTTAGACCTCTAGTTGTTTCACAAACGATTTTAAGTCTTTGATTCTTTTGATGCTGAGAAATTAAGTACTTTCGTTTGTGTTTTTTTATCCCCCTATGCATATGAATACTTACTTGCTTGATAGTTTTTAAGTATTCACTCATGTCCAGTCCCACAATGCTTATAACTGAATAACTTCAAGTGTTTACCAACAGTTACATCACATCTTACAAAAATCACTTTATTTACTACACACTTGACTCAAAATCATGAGTGCCAGTCACTATTATGGCTTTTCGGGATTACTATTCAACTGTAATTTAATGGTTGATAACTATCTTCTGAAAACTAATTGAATAGTTTCGTACACTAATATTGAATTAACTTTAATAAATTCATTCAAAGATATTTTATTATTTCAACTATAAGATAACCCTAAGATACAAAGGTTAGACTATTAAACTATCAAGTTGCATTATTTCGGTGAGAGGGAGAAAGCGGAAAGAATGTTGTTGTAATCGGTATCTTTTTTATGTTATTATTTTTCCCCAATAAAGATCCGACCACAATGTGAGGTGTTTAACTACATTGGATCACCTATACTAATACCAGAACTAATTTCATGGAACAAACTTCCTCTAAAACAAGAAGAAAATTCATGCACATGCACAGAAATAGACAAAACGTCAGATTTTTTAAATATTGTAAATATTCGCTTAGGATTAACAGTTTTATCTTATTTAGCAGCTGGAATTTCATTTCCTGATTCAGCTATTTCAAATCGTGTTCCAAGGTGAGAAATTATCATTAAATGTTTTGAAAATGTTAGAAAAATTCCAAAAAAAGCTTCACTTAAATAATGACAATAGCAACAAAAAAGTAGTCAGTGTGTTCCATGTAAAAGGGCACTTGATTGTAAGCTCTACATCTAAATTTTGTGGACGTTGAGACGCAAAAAGTGTATCCCTTAGCACACATGCACCAGTCACATTCGTTATTATATTTCAATTCATTTGGCTCATTTTTAAAATCGTATGACCTACCAGTGAGATAACAGTTTCTTTAGTGATTGGAGGGAATCAATGGATTACCTCGAATCTAGGTTCAGTACAATATTTAGAGATCCGGTACTCCTCGTGAAACTCAAACTTGTGTCAGGCTCTAATACGGCCAACAGGGTTACTACTGTGTTATTCGGACAGCAGCCGACTCCGTAAGATTCTGATTACTATGAAGGCGTTAGTTCTACGGTAAGTCCTATAAAGACTTAAATTTGCCGTAGTTACCTCCAAAACATTACCTTTTATTTAGTCACTTTATATATCATAGTATAACTTCACCTCCATACCGCATTTATTTTAAAACGACACTTGTATATTACTATACTGATATTGGTAGTAATAATAGTCCTGTTGGTTGTTTAGTTTTATTACTAAGATCTAGATTATTTCCACTACCAGTTCAACTAGTGTTGTCTTTCGATACTTTGCTTCCAACTCCATGTTCGGACATTCGTCCGAAAGTTCCATTCAATCTGACGGTGAGTAACACCTTTGCAAGTTATTGTATTTTTGCTGGGGATGTATTTTTTGAGATATGTGACAACAACGATTCACTCAGTCGGTAGTTACCGTAAGCTTACACGTACAAAAGTACCAATGCATTCTAAAAATAATCCACTTTTTGCCTATATATGGGTACTACCTAACCACTGACAGCACTGTACTACAGCTCCGACATTAATGATTACCTTTCATTTTTCAACTGGTATTTCAATGTTCCAAAATTAAAATCACTACCAATTTATTCATACTAAATATGTTCATCAACATTGTAAACTATTTTCTCCCATTTATAATTTCTTTTTCTAGTGATAATCCATGCTTAACAAATGCAAGTCTGTCACCAATTTATGCACAAACTATAGATGAAATTCTGTTACCTGTCTATAAGCTGGAAAAACTGAACATTATATGTCTATCAGGTTTATTTCCGGATTGCTGCTACGATGAACTGGAGGATAAAATAAAGTATGACTATCAGTATTGTAACTCAGTTATGGTAAAAACGTTTTCATCCATATACTTAGGATTTAGGAAGTGAATTATAAGTTATAGAACATTAATTTGTTCTGGAAGCGAAATGTAAACATAGCTTAAATTAAAATACTTTTCGTGAGATTAGAAATAATGTGATTTTTATTGCATTACGTAACAAAACATGCTAGAACTTTGAGTTCAATACCAATTCATAATCAGTGTGAACAAGAAAATGCTCTCTTTGTTCATTTGTATTGTCAAGCCACTTAAAGTCTAACCAGTAACCGTAAATACGCATATATATATATATATATATATATATATATATATATATATATATATATATATATATATGTTTTCTAATTATCATGGTCTGTGCGAACACTAATAGTGAAGATTCGAACTATGCCTAACTTGCACCCAGAAGGTCATACGCATTTGAGTCTTCACTACTGTCATGGCTTTTGAGATGAAAATTCTTTGGAATATAGTCAGTGAACCATTTAGATGCCTGTCTTTCCAATGTACACGGTTTTGTGCGAACATGTAAAATCACAAACTGATCTAAGTTATACAACCATCGAAAAGCTGAAAGCACTGGACGGCCATTTCGCTCTGGTATGGAACTCCTCAGCGTTGCCCATCCTCGACCCACAACCCGAAATCGAAACCACGACGTTGAGTTTCATGGGCAAACCTTTAATGCATGTGGTACTAATTGTGTACAAATCTAACTTGAATCAATTAACGATATTGCGCGACCATCTTCCACTGTCTTTAATGGATATCTTCCTCACATCTAACTTTAATTTCACCGGTCGCGGCCGTCCAGCGCTTCTAGGTTTTCAATGGTTGCCCAAGTTAGATCGGTTCGTGATTTCGATAGAATTCAACTATCTCAACAGTTTCATACTAAAAATTATTATCAGATTATTGATCCTCATGTTATTTAGCGTGGAACTGACTTCTCTGCTGTGTGGCACTTTCTGTCTTTTGATCAGTTCTTGTAACCTGCTAAATGAAATTTGTATTCCTACATACCTATTACATTTATTATCTTAAATTTACGTTTATAGATCAATGTTAGCAGAAAGTCAACGCGGGAATGAATTAGTTTACATGTGCAGATGTCCACTAAAAGTTACCACCGATTCAGTACAATCGTTGAAACAGTCTGTTAATCACTTAGGAACTCTATTTTTAACTGGTAGAAAACCTGTTTCAGATTCACAAGGACTACCACTTATTAAAATTCGATTTTAACATTTTATTTTTCCATTTGCATGTACATTTTTGCCGTTATCGGTAATATACATTCTTGAATTATATCTTAGTCCTTTTGTCGACCTTAGATTTGGGATAATATTTGTAGTAGTGATAATAATGCGTAAATATGTTTTGCCTAGCGCAAATGTTCGTAAGCACTGGTTACACCAAATCAGCAAAACATATGAGTTTAACACAATGAATAGCGAACGAGTCAAGATGGTATACTAACAATGTTAATAAAATGGATTAGGCATTGAGAATATAGAAAAACGAATACTTAAACTCAAGATCTAGAAGAAAATAGACAGTTCATTCATCCACATCACTGAGACATGTCACCCAAAGTCTCCGAACGCGGACCCCAACCAGGTAATCTTCATCTATCAAAACGGTTCGACGAGCAATTAGTTCCTTCATAAACCAATGTTACATCTTGGCCCGGACGAATTTAGCTTTCTTTCAGCTTGCATCACTCAACGCTGCGCGTCAATGTTGACTCTAGTTGAGCATAAGTAATGCGCATCCTAGCCACAGTCGATAAAAATTCACAGCCTTCTCAACCGGCTTTCCGTCTTTGCTTAGTGTCCTATACCTAACCCCATTATCGCTCACTGGGTCGTTCCATAATACGTGACCAGTGCTTTGGAGATAATTATAGTCAAAAACCTTAATCTTCCATTTTTAAAGGCTATGTTTCATTGGGTAATAAAGAGCTGACTGTTGTAAAACACCCATTGGTTGACAGATGGAGATCTCAGACTACAAGTAATGTAGGTTGGGAAACAAGAACCTACTTCTCCATAGTGGATATGTCGGAAATGAATAAACTAAAAAATCTGCTATGTATACAGAACAGCTTGTAATTTCCCTTCAACTTTGAGCCCCGAAATTATTTAATGACGTACGTCAGCAACCATGTACAAATTTGCGCATTCTCTGTGTGTGGAAGCTCCCATACTCTAAAAAATGATGCAGATATTTGCATTTTTCACAATTACAACCCAACAGTTGAATGCCGAATGACTTACTTCTTCACTTATTAGTATTCAGTTAACTTATAGACTGGAATTAAGCTGTCCTCATAGACTTTTCAAACCCACTTTCTCCGATCGTGTGGATAGAAGCACATCAAATACTATAGGGTTGCGTAAAATGAATCACATTCTGGAGTTCTGTAATAAAAATTTCAAACTATGCAATAGAGACAAATGAGAATGAGAGAGATATTTCAGTCTTGTGTTCACTTTCACAGTTGAAATCACGGGTTGATCTAACCTAGACCACCATTGGAAACACTGGAGGGTCGTCTCGTTCTAGTATAGGACTCAGCAATGCTCATTCACGACCTCGCAAGCGGAACTCGAAACAGCCGTCCAATGCTGCAGACATTCAATTGTGGACAATGCAATAAGAAGACAAATGTTTTCAGAATTATGCGATATATTAGACTTTCAGGTAATATCGAAGCGATCGGCACAGGAAGCACGTATACCAAAAGAGATTGATCAGTTGCAGCCCTAAATATCATTGGGAAGCTCTAAACAACCAATATGAATAAAAAGCTTTTGACCTGTTCAACTACGTGTTTAGCAACAGAGGATGATAGATGTTTATGATCTCGTATTGGGTTATTTGATTTGTTTTTGCAACCATTTTGGTGCCCTTATTTTCCTATTGATTTGTGCTTCATGTAATTAATTATAGGTTTCTGTCTATGCACAGCTTTCATGCGCGATGCTTTATCCTGTCTCAATAGCTACTTGACATTATATTACTTCCCTCATCGATGCATGCAAGCCATATAACACTACGATAAGTCGTTTAATCAATCCACTCACTTCAATAATTAATCGCTACATCAATCCGTGCATCATATAATTCAATATACACAGGTTCCAGACCTTACTTCATAGACTGCTGACGACACTGTTTGAAATATGCTCATTCCCGAAATATTTCAAAAGGTTTTCGGCATTGCCTTATCAAGCAAATTCAAGCACACAACAAGAAAAAACTAGGATCAAAAACATTTAAAATCAGGTTGAATTAATTTGGTATTCAATAAAGCGACCCAAAAAGATGAACAGTTAGTTAGAACGATCAGTTATCAAATTTAAATGATATATTTTCTAGGGGGTTTGACAGTAATGATACACGCTAACTGATTGATTGTAATCTTAATTTTCTATAATAAAAATTAAAATCTGATTAATTGACAAGGGATGAGAACGATAGAACACAGAAAAATAGTTTCAAGTCTATTTTTGTAATTATTTATTTTTATCGTAATGGAGACATGTACAGTACTAACAGATTTAGCGCCGTATATGTGAGTCGACTTAATAACCTTTTCAATAACTCAAGTAAAATATGTTCTATCTCATGGTAATGAACATGAAGTAAAATATGAAAACAAAGGAAGAAGACAAATAAATTACAAGTGATACTTCAGTAGTTTGATTTGGACAGAGTCTCTAATAAAACTGTTATAATATGAGTTAATTGTTATCTAACAACACAATACTGAAGAAAGAATTAAGTTAAATAATAATCATATTTTATTGATCTCTTTGATGATTGGCTTGAAGCAGTCAAATTAAATGTGACTCATTCGAACTTGTTGAAGAATTTTCGACTCCAGATATGCACGATGATGTGTATGTATTAGGTACTTTTATACTCTCAAGGCTAGGTTTTAGATTTTTATGATTAATTTTTTCGCCATTGACATTACGTGTTGAATACCCTTCAAGAAGTGAATTTTCAATAATTCCAACTTTTTTATCAGTAGTTATTTCTGCTGTTGGAAATTTAATATTTGTTGAATTACTATGATTCCATAATGCTTCACAATGAACACTTTGATTGCTGTCAGAAGTATTGTTCTGTTGATGACTCTCCATATTTGATCGTTGTACAATTGTAACTGCTGTCATTTGCATTGACCCTAATGGATTTAATATGTGTTCACTTGACACTTGATTACCTTGTACATGGAAAAGAGCCTGTAGAACAAATAATGATAAAAATACGTTTTACACTACAAATAAATTACTCCGTATTAATTTAAGTCATTATTCTTATTCTTTACAGATGGCCAAGTCCTATCAAAGGACCTCGCCGAACCTAGTTGCCAGACTAGTAAAACCATGCATAAAACCCAAAGTGTTTCATTGGTTATTTTCAGCTACCTAATATATGAAGTACGCCGTTTATAGTGATATTTTGATTATGATAAATGTTATACACACTCTAAGTAATATGTATATCTAAAATAATTCTATAACTAACCAAAACACTCAATACTTTAGTATCAAGTCAAGTGTCCAAATATTCAACCTATTATTTTCCACCGAACATTAACCATATATTTCTATCGTAACATTCATCTTGCTGTACCATGACAACATTGTAAGACAGTAGTAAATGATCATACAGAGACTATTTCGAGAAAAATTATTGTTGATTCCGGAAACTCGGTACTCCATAGTGAAGATGGAAATTAACAATAATAGCAACATAACCCATTCCTTACAGATTATTTTACTACATGGTACATTATCTTTGTAGAACACAATCAGAACATTGAAACTCCGAATCCCCCTAGCACACTTAATAGTATTGCAGTGAACGAAGAATCCAGGTGGAAATAACCATTTTGTTGTTTAGTGCAAAATTGCAGAGTCCCTTCGTAAAGTATGAAAATCATACATTGAGTACATAATTTGCATATTTTCCATCAGTTGCCTTTTACATACTTCATCATTCTTTGAACCCTATTGTGATTGCAATTACTCCCTGCTTCCCTTTCTGTTCTCTTCCATTAAATCTCAATCTTTGGCTAGCACGCATTCCACTTCCAATAGGTGATACATGTTACTGATATCTGTCAATATAAGTAGCATACACCACACTAACCCTCCCCCCTTAGACAGTCATCCTGATTGCCGTGTCGCTTCCCTCCTTTTATTTTGCGCTACGCCTCCCGCAAAAATTTCAAGCCAGCCGGCGCGCTAACCTCCGTAGCAATGTCGACCCGCTAGGCAGTTTACATCAGACATCCGTCCCGTGCTCGGACGTAACACTCCTCTCCGTCAACCAAAACGCCCTAACTAGCACCTCCTCATTTGGACTTACTACGGGGCCCGCTTGACTTCACCCTCTCCACCTCTCCTTTGGTAGTTACAATAAATGTAGGGAACGAAGACTTCAGGTGAGGAAACCCAATTTATTGTTTGATGCACAATCACATAGTAGTGTAGTAAAATATGAAAATCATAGATCAAATATATCATATGCACATCATCTTTCAGTTGTCTCTCACAAGCTTCATTGTTCCTTCATTTCTTTTGTTAGCTTGATTACTCTCAGTTCTCTTCTCTCTTTTCTTCATACCAATCTTCTCAACCTTCTACTCGCAGATATTCCACTTCCAACTGGTGTTTCATAATACTTATATTTGCAAACATAAGAAGCATGCACCACAATTGCTCTAATTATTGATTCTTTAATATTCCCTAAAGTTTATAGCTATCAATCAGGTATTCTGTACATGATATTAATATAATCAGGAAGAAATTTTCAGGTGTGGAGGAAATATCTGAATAAGTAGGAAACGTTGTTTTTCAATGGGTAGTACAGTTCAAACTAACTTCTTCATAATAGAGATAATATGCTTCAAATATCTAAGGACATAAGTGTTTTCCTAATCACTATTAGTGCTATAAGTGTTCTCCCATATTCCTTTTTTCATGTTTCCCATGACCTAGTCTTATAAAACGAGTTTGAGGAAACACAAGGCTTTTCAAATACCTATCCACCAAATATGCATGGTTTTTTAATCAATGAGAAGTGATAAACTCTCTTATAAATTCGCTAAAACTTGTTTTCGGTTAAAAAACAAATAGGTCAACAACTGAAGATGGAATTCATCATTGTCTATTTCATTAGTTTTAAAAACCAGTTCGATCTGGACGAAGTTTTCGTCACGGATCAACACCAACTCATGAATAACTAAGAACTAGGGACTAATGATGAGGTCCTTCACTCGCAGAAGTGT